GAGCAGTGGAGCTTCTGCAGTCCCGCTTGAATTTTCTATCTTTTACTACTGAAATTTTGCTCTTTTTTAGTTCATATCTTTCCAGTTCTCTTGCCTCATGCTCTCCGAGATTAGATACCAATTTCTGCGTGGCCTCCGTGACACTGTATTCGGCGGCCTTACGCTCACTATGGTCCGCAATGACCCAAGTGAGTTGCAAGGACGCTTCTAGTAATATTTTTTCCCACTTCCCCCTGTCTGCTTCACTTAGTGTAGACATTGAGGGGTTGCAGGCTAGGCGGAGGTTCTTAGGTGCAATTTCGTGAGATGGATATTTGGTTAGTTGTTCCGCGTGTTTTTCGTATTGCACGCGATTTTCAATGATTTTCCTAATCGATAGAAATGAGTGGGACCATGCATGCGTGTTTAAGACTGCCCGTACCTTTTGTTTCCCCGTGTCATTTGGAAGCCGCCGTTTTGGTCTTCGCCGCATTCGTCCGCCTGGTGTTGTAAGGCCTCGTTGGTGGGAGTGGTGACGTCGTCACTGCTGGGACCCTGGATGGTTCTTTGTGTCCCTCGGCTCCCTGTTGTTGAGTGGTTTTGGCACTGGAGTTTGCCGTGCAAGCCGTTGCCGCCGATCTCTGACTCACTGGTGGGACCCGCTGGCTCGCTGGCCTCGCTGGTGGTAGTGGCGACATCGTCACTGCTGGTGCCCTAGATGGCTCTGTGTGTCGCTCGGCTCCTTGTTGTTGAGGGGGCTTGGCACTGGAGTTGTCCGTGCAAGCGATTGCCGCTGATCTCCATGCCGCCGACGTCCATCGCAGCTGCACCCTCGTGTGCTGTGCCAGCAGCGCGACTCCCTCGAAGCTTGCATGTAAGCCGTCAGCAGCCAGGAAGCGGCGCAGCGGGAGTGTTGAGAAACCATGTTCGACGTAATAGACGCCTGCTCCCAACAACCCGTAGTGGCAGAGACGGCGGGCCTCTCTGCTGAATCGCTGTACCTCCATATTAAACCCATTCATTGATCGCCAGTTCGAGTCCCGCCGTCGGCGATTGGGTGCGCGAGGTAGTGGCAGACTAAGATGCAGTGTCTTGATGTTCGGGCGCATCTGCGTCATTCGCTTCAATGCCTCCCTCAACAAATCCAGTGATCTTGAAGAGCTCGTCTTCAGGATGTCCGTGGTGCCCACATGCAGAAACAACGTGTCCACCCGGTAAGGTAGGTACTCAAGTAGCGCCGGAATGTCCGAACACCACCGTAGGAGATGAAGCACGGTGTCGATGAGTCGTTCGGGCTGAAGTGCGTGTGGACGTACCGCATGATTGAGTCCCCGATGACGGCATACTTCGTAGGGTAATTTGGATATCTCCGCGACAAACGCTCCGTTGATGATGTACTGGCAGCCATGGTTCAGGTCAGTGGGAGTAATAATTCAATGGGCCAGTTAGTCTTCGTGAAGGTATGAGATATGGCACAACGGGAGCGTTGTCAACAAGGATAAATATATTTATTTCCCAACAGTTTCGGGAGGGGTCCTCCCTTCATCAGGGGATGAGTTATACTGACATGAGCTTCCAAACTTCGTTGCTGCCGCGTCCCTCTCCCTTGAAAAATGTTTGCGTGCTCTCTCAGCCGTGAACAATGTTAAAAACGGGAAAGATGGTTTTCTTGCCCAGCACTGCACTGAGTGCAAGTGTGTTCCCCTCTTCGAGGAAACAGCGACGTTGTACAAACACAGAGATGTAAGCACCCAGGTCATTGTCAGGCTGCGCAGATGGCACGCGAACAGGTGTCTTGTGTTAGCAAGCCCTCCGTGGCTTTGTCCGAGAAGGAACGCAGGTTCCTCGAAGGATTCGGTGCGGGCAGGTAACGCGAACAGGTGCCTTGTATTAGCAAGCCCTCCGTGGCTTTGTCCGAGAAAGAACGCAGGTTTCTCGAAGGATTCGGTGCGGGCAGGTAGCTTTACCTTTCTGTTTCGGTTTCTTCTAAGTTTTTTCTTTGCTGTTTTTCAGTGCCTTTGTATTTGTGTTGTTTGTTTTTGGTTTTCTTACTCATGTTCTGCTCTTGTGCCATATGGTTTTTATCACATGGTCACTGTCTCTTCTATATATTTTCGTGCTCTGCGCAATAAACTCAGTTGGAAGTTAGCGCTCGTGTCTTTCGTGTCCTTCTTGTCTCTGTGTCGTCGTTTTGTTCTCGCGCTATAACTATCGTCATGACATTCAGGAGTTAAGAGGAGAGTGCGAGATAATTATACTAGGAGATATGAATGCGCACATAGAAGATATAGATGGGTATACCAACCCGACAGGCAAAATGATCATGGATATGTGTGAAATGCTTGATTTGATCATTTGCAAACAGTACCGAGAAGTGTGAAGGGCAAAAAACATGGGAGAAAGGAAGGCTGCAGTCGACGATAGATTACGCACTGATGTCACATAGGATGTATGATAAGCTCAGGGAAGTGCACATAGATGAAGGTGGCTCCAGAAGTCTAGGTAGTGATCACAAACGTATCAAGCTAAGTTTTGGAAGAGCAGTTAAAGTGGGAAGGAGACACGATGAGCAACTAATAGAAAATTTTTATTCAGAAATGCGAATTGAAATATCCACTAAATAAATTGAGAAAGTAATCACTAAGGATAATGAAACAGTGGGGACATACATGAATCTAATTAGACTGAGCTAGAGCTTGCTAAAGCACGTGACAAGTCACCCCGGAAAAGATGACACAAATCCAAAAGTTGGTGGGATGAGGAAATTAAGAGAGCCATAGCAAATCGTTAGGAAGCCTCTAGGGAACACAGACATGCTAAGCAACGGGGCGAACCGACAGATGATGTTGAAAGAAAATGGGACATCTTTCTGAGCGGTAGAAGGGAAGCATCCCTTCTGATCAATGAAAAGATTAGAAGAAAGGGAGCTCAGTGGCTGGCAGAAGTACATAAAAAAGATAGAAAGGCAGCTGCGAAATTTTGGAAGCATGTAAACTCCCTAATGATGAGCAGCGATGGCGTAGTGGTTAGAGCATCCACCTCGCATGGAAAAGGTCCGTGGTTCAAATCCCGGTGCCGCGCAGCTCCCAACCGGATAAAAAAATCCGCGTGGTGATGGAACTGCATTACGAGGCCTGGGGTGCGGCCTCACCGGTAACCACTGCCGGGAATGCACTCCCTCACCAGAGAAGGATTGGCCACCCTGGTGCAGTATCTGGCCACTACCTCCCACATGCATACATCGAATAACTCACGGCCCTCATTCCCCAGCAGCTGCGAAGCAACTGACCACGGCGGCGGTCAGATTTGCAACGCAGCAGAGGGTGCTAAGAATCTCTAGATCCGGACAGGCCACCAGTGGAACCTGAACTTGGCAACGTTTAACGCTAGAACCTTATTTAGTGAGGGCAGTCTAGCTGTACTACTCGAAGAGCCAGAGGGTGTTAAATGGGATATATAGGGCTCAGTGAGGTTAGGAGGACAGATGAGGCCTATACGGTGCTACAAAACAGGCACGTCCTTTGCTATAGGGGCTTGGCTGACAGAAGAGAACTGGAAGTGGGGTTCCTAATTCACAGAAACATAGCTGGCAACATAGAGGAATACTATAGCATTAACGAAAGGGTGGTAGGTATCGTAATTAAACTAACAAAAGATACAAGATTAAGGTGGTACAGGCTTACGCACCTACATCTAGCCATGATGACGCTTCAGTTGAAAGCTTCTATGAAGACGTGGAATCGGCAATGAGTAAGGTAAAACACAGTATACTATAATAATGAGAGACCACAATGCAAAGGTAGGGAAGAAGCAGGCTGGAGACCAGGTAGTAGGAGATTATGGCATCTATACTAGAAACGCCAGAGGAGAGCTACTAGTAGAATTCGCAGAACGCAATAATTTACGGATTTTGAATACCTTCTACCAAAAACGAAGAAACCGCAAGTGGACATGGAGGAGCCCTAATTGTAAAAATAAGAACGAAATAGACCTTATAATGAGTGTACACCCAGGCATCATGCAGGATGTGGAAGTGGTTGGCAAGGTACAATGCAGTGACCACAGAATTCGGTCTATAATTCGTCTAGACTTGAAGAAGGAACGACAGAAACTGATACGCAAGAAGCCAATCAATGAGCTAGCACTGAGAGGGAAAGTACAGGAATTCAGAGTCTCGCTTCAGAACAGGTACTCTGCTCTTAGTGAGGAAACCAACCTTAGCATAGATACAATAAATGATAATCTGACGAGTATCATTACGGAGTGTGCAGTGAAAGTTGGAGGCAGGGTAGTTAGACAGGACACTGGCAAGCTTTCCAGGAAACGAATAATCTCATTAAGAAGCATCAAATCATGAAAGTCTCATGTACAACAGACAAAATAAAACTGGCATAGCTTTCGAAGTTGATTAATAGGCGTAAGGTGTCCGATGTAAGAAGGTACAGTCAAACCTCATTGTATCGAACACGGATATATCAAATTATTGCCTATATCTAACGGTTCCTATATCACGCGGGAAATCGCATGCATTATTGATTTTTTTTTATTTTGAACAAAATTTGACATATAATGGATATATCGAACTCAGCCACCCCAAACCGCCCGCGCTCCATTGACAGGCGGCGAGCTTTCCCGCAACTCTCGAAAGTAGCGGTAGAGTGGCGGGCGTTTACGAATACTGCACACATCGATGGCGCCGAGAGCGCCACTTTAACGTAGCGGCATACGCGCGCCGCAGCCTTGTGGTAGAGGTTCTTGAATGAGGAAGTGAAAAGCGCGGAGCTGTTATTAGAGGTTTTTAGTTTGACGTTTTTACGCTCCGCTTAGCAGCTAAGCGGAGCGGGAACGCGAGTGCGCATGCGCCCTCCGCTAAGGCCTTAAGCGGGTTACCGGAGCGGGGAATACGTTCCGCTTACGAGCAGCCTAAGCGGAGCGCGGTGCGTCGCTGCCGTTTTTGCAAGCGAAAGGGGGACAACGCGCGCGCCCTCTCTCGTGCGTGCAACAACTTTGCTCATTTCAAGATGGCTGCCTCCGGAGATGGCACGTTTTCCGCGAGTGCTGCAGCTTGGCTGTCACCTGCCCAGCGCAAGCCGCGAAAACGCTTTCGCATCGATGAAGATTTATGCCTCTTGAAAGAAGTGGTGTGTACTGACCCATTCAGCAATCCCGCCGCGTGGGAGGACGTGCTTCGAAACGTCATGAGAGCGATAAATCGCGAGCTGACCATTCGCGGCATCAAAGAGCGAGTGGACCTCCTCATCGGATATTTTCGACAGCAGGACACAGTGAACCTGAGGAAGTGAGTGCTTCCTTACTTTATTAGTAAACGCTGTTCAAGTGCTGTAGATGAAGCAGTCGCATCGTAACGTGCTTGATTGCTCCGTAGGTCCGGCACCGAAGAACAATATGGAGAGCGGGAGCAGCTGCTTCAGGACGTATCGGACCTCATGAGGGAGGTCGATTATGCCCCGAGAACCGTGCCGCGGAAGGCAAACGGCATGGGACTGTCGAAAAAAAACGGCGTGGGGCCACGACAGCCCACTCAACAACTAGCATCGTCCAAGGCGCGCAGAGCCCAGGCTCTGCTAATTAGGGACGCTGCAATGGCATCTTTACCCGCTGTCCGGGCCTCAGACGACGGACAGAAAAATGGCAAGTAATCTGGAGTGGAGGGTAACAGCAACCCACCCCTAAACTTGTACTATGAAAACTGTGAAGTGTTCATCTTGGCGATATCTGTATCGGGAGTGACGGCATATATTTCAATGGCAGTGTTCACAGAATGAATTGTTGTGACACAGTAGTCAGACAGGTTACCTAGCTGGACAGTTTGCACTATAAATATTACATTATTCAGTAATATGCTGGCCACTGTGCCTGTTCATTATATGGCATTGATCCTCAGGCAGTCAATATACTACATTCCCACGTTGTGGATGTGATGTACTTAATCGGCACTCAGTGAGAAATGACTGAATTTAAAAATAATCTAATGCTTTGTTCAGCTTGCTGAATGTTTCTCATAACTGCAGTGAACATATTTGTGAATTAAGCTCATTAACTGGGAAAACAAATATCTATTTTGACAGATATAGGGAAGAAAGGTAGTTTTTATTCTGTGTGAAGGTCCTATAGTATTACTAATGACATTCTCATTCATGTGCCTCGTTTTCTATGTGCAGATGAGGCAACAGCAACAAATATGCTGTTGGCAATCTATGAGGATGAGCTCAGTCAGCAGGCGACAGAACCACAACCAGCCCAGCTGGAGAGGTGCCGGCTGCTGCACCAGGCGTGCCGGCTGCTGCACCAGGTATGTGCAAAGTACATTAGACGTAAAATATATCTTTATTTACTTATTCACAACGTGTACAACAAGGCACATTAAACAAATGTTCGTAGGCAAAAAACACATGAGAAGCAAGTGCAACCCTTACTACTATGCAAATGTATGTTCTTTAATACTACTACTAGCAGAAATTCGCACATGAAAGTGTTTATGCACGATGCTGCAAGGCAAGTTGCACCGTGTAATCATTGTGCAAAATACTACAAAACATAAATTAAAAGTGATATACACAATGCCTTAGCTAATATGCTCAGTGCCTAACTTCTGATGATCATTCATGCCCTTGTAGCACAGGAGACCTTGGAAACAGATACAATAGAGGACAGCGACGCTGACCAGGAGGCTCAAGGGCCCCTTCGTGCGCCGGAACGGCGGCGTTGCAGACAGTCTGCTGTTCCGACAGGTATTGCAAATCAGACTTGCATGATTTTTCAAGTTGCACCAGATGATGCATAGCTCTCATTGCATTGAAATAACATTCATGCGCTACATGTGATTCGTTTGCTTGTTTTTTCAATGCTAATTCAAGGCTTGGCATTCATCATACCCGAATGTGATAAGATGGCGCTGATCCCAGAGTAAATTAGTTATGAGCTGTAACACTTTAGAAGTACGTCATTTGTGTTCTACTTCATTTTATAGGAATCAGAGGCCTCCAGGCCCTTGGACTGCAGCTGCTTCTGAAAAGGGAAGAGAATGAGTTCCTTCTCCGGCAGAAGGAAATGGAGCTAGAACACCGACGGCTGGACCTCGAGGAACGTCGTGCGACAATAGCAGAAAGAAAACTATTATTGGAGGAAGAGCGCTCGAAAATGGAGGCTCAGCGCCAGAATTCTAGTGAAATTATCCAGGAAATAAGCAACAAGATTGATCAATTACAAAAAAAAAATTACTAGCCTACACAAATAAAAAACTGTGTCGAAGGAATCCGCTCAGTTCTTTGGTCTCAAATATTCTTCCAGCTGAGGAGGTTCAACTTGAAAGTATTGAGATACCTGTGAGCTATACATACAAGTGTGGCAATTAGCAAGTATTGTGCCAACTTTGTACATGCGTGACACGTTCTGCCGTTTGAGTCTCTGATTTTTACGAAAATCCAGAAAAGCAAACAAGCCTGCAATCTTTCCGAAACCCCATTCGACTGCTTGTCTAACGGAACTCATTCTCTTGTTGAATGCCCGCTGCTGCACAGTCACGTTCCCGCCATAAGGTTTCAGCAGCAGAGGTCGCAGTGGATAGGCAGGGTCACCATACAACAAAAGCTGTGGCCTTTGGCAAGCTTCTCTAGCTTGCGATAGGTGTTGCTCTTTCGAAGGATACCTGGAAATACAGGAGGACATGAAAACATATTGCCACATGATATGCGACACTGAATGCTTCATAAAATTCTTGCCACTTCCCCATAAATTTACACAAATGTTAAGTGGACTCTGTAGTGTGCACTTTTTAGATGCACTCTTTCCAAATAAAAAAAAAAGAAAAAGCTTTGATGTCTATCCAAGTAGGAAGGTTTCTTCACAGTGCTATGCAGTAAAACACATTTATAATGCATTTATAAATAGAACCTGCATGGCATTACCTGTGACGAGTTATGACTGAAGACTTGTTGCAGAGTAACAAAGAAAACTTGGCCACAGCATTATAATGGTAACTGGGGCATGCATTTATCATTTAGCTTGCACCTTATTCTCGAAATAAACAGTTCACATTTTTTTCAGGTTCTCTTGCAACACCATTAAATTTGAATAATATGCTGCTTTCTACTGTAACCACAATTAGTTGTCCCAGACTGAGTGTACTTCACACATTAGTACGAAGTGATAGCTTGTTTGCTGAAGCAGCACAGAGCACTCCCTCAGATAGGCGCGATGATGCTTTTTTTTTTGAAGTTGGACAAATAGGACGGGGCTCAGTATAACAAAAATAACTTGCCTGCGTCATGCCGGCTGCCGACGTACGGACCGTTCAGTTGGCAAATGATTCCATTAGGACACATAATGGACTGATATTTAAGGGCGTGAAAGCGCTTATGCCCTGAAAAGAACCGCTTCTGGTCCTTCGATGGACGGCAAATGGCTCGCGCTGTCCCGTCGATGAAGCCCCAACAGTTCATGCAACGGCGCCCCTTTGGAATGCACAGCCTGCGATAAAATGTTATTTAGATTAGAAGTAACAAAACAAATTAACAAACTTCATACCTCGGAAAAGAGTCGGAGTTTAGCGATGTCCAGCCAGGTGTGGTTATTCACATCTCGCAGCAGATGTCCAAACGTGCTGTCAATGTGCGCGAGCACTGCATTAGTGGCTGAAGAAATCACTGAATAATGCCGCCCGAACAGCGGCTCCAGTTCTCGCAGCCTATTGGGATAAGCCAACGCCGTAGCGTAAGGCAGAGTGCCTCAACTCCGGAAACGTGCACGCCCTGCGGCGTTGTCACATTTTCAGGCACTTGTAGTGCACGGCACAGGCTTCGCACATCATCTCTTTCAAACCTAAAATACGTGCGAAATTGTCCTCTGTCCATGCTCTCGATGTTCAAGAGGCCATGTCGTGACAGCGGTCTCGCCGAGTGTATTGGAAGACTTCGAGGCACAACAAGTCCTCGATTTCGGACCACTTTAAAAGACCCATCAAAAATGGGTCCTCTAGCACACTCGTCGGAGGCATCAATGGTTATGCAAACACAGTTTCAACGGTGAAAAATGAAAACGCCGCCACCACACACGCGTCAAAAGCGCAAACAACACACAGTGATTGCTTGCAATGGATCTGGAACGGAACCATGTTGGCTTTTGAGTGGCTACTATCAAGTCAGAGCTTGCTTCTTTGTCAAAAAAAAAATAGACGGTTAATACATTGAAAGTGGATTTTAAATACTTCATCAAAAGATCATTTATACGTTATTGTTTTGCTTTGTATACGTGAAAAAAATGTTTCACATGAATCACATTCGGGTATGATGAATGCCAAAATGAATCACATTCGGGTATGATGAATGCCAAGCCTTGAATTAGCATTGAAAAAACAAGCAAACGAATCACATGTAGCGCATGAATGTTATTTCAATGCAATGAGAGCTATGCATCATCTGGTGCAACTTGAAAATCATGCAAGTCTGATTTGCAATACCTGTCGGAACAGCAGACTGTCTGCAACGCCGCCGTTCCGGCGCACGAAGGGGCCCTTGAGCCTCCTGGTCAGCGTCGCTGTCCTCTATTGTATCTGTTTCCAAGGTATCCTGTGCTACAAGGGCATGAATGATCACCAGAAGTTAGGCACTGAGCATATTAGCTAAGGCATTGTGTATATCACTTTTTAATTTATGTTTTGTAGTATTTTGCACAATGATTACACGGTGCAACTTGCCTTGCAGCATCGTGCATAAACACTTTCATGTGCGAATTTCTGCTAGTAGTAGTATTAGAGAACATACATTTGCATAGTAGTAAGGGTGCACTTGCTTCTCATGTGTTTTTTGCCTACGAACATTTGTTTAATGTGCCTTGTTGTACACGTTGTGAATAAGTAAATAAAGATATATTTTACGTCTAATGTACTTTGCACATACCTGGTGCAGCAGCCGGCACGCCTGGTGCAGCAGCCGGCACCTCTCCAGCTGGGCTGGTTGTGGTTCTGTCGCCTGCTGACTGAGCTCATCCTCATAGATTGCCAACAGCATATTTGTTGCTGTTGCCTCATCTGCACATAGAAAACGAGGCACATGAATGAGAATGTCATTAGTAATACTATAGGACCTTCACACAGAATAAAAACTACCTTTCTTCCCTATATCTGTCAAAATAGATATTTGTTTTCCCAGTTAATGAGCTTAATTCACAAATATGTTCACTGCAGTTATGAGAAACATTCAGCAAGCTGAAACAAAGCATTAGATTATTTTTAAATTCAGTCATTTCTCACTGAGTGCCGATTAAGTACATCACATCCACAACGTGGGAATGTAGTATATTGACTGCCTGAGGATCAATGCCATATAATGAACAGGCACAGTGGCCAGCATATTACTGAATAATGTAATATTTATAGTGCAAACTGTCCAGCTAGGTAACCTGTCTGACTACTGTGTCACAACAATTCATTCTGTGAACACTGCCATTGAAATATATGCCGTCACTCCCGATACAGATATCGCCAAGATGAACACTTCACAGTTTTCATAGTACAAGTTTAGGGGTGGGTTGCTGTTACCCTCCACTCCAGATTACTTGCCATTTTTCTGTCCGTCGTCTGAGGCCCGGACAGCGGGTAAAGATGCCATTGCAGCGTCCCTAATTAGCAGAGCCTGGGCTCTGCGCGCCTTGGACGATGCTAGTTGTTGAGTGGGCTGTCGTGGCCCCACGCCGTTTTTTTTCGACAGTCCCATGCCGTTTGCCTTCCGCGGCACGGTTCTCGGGGCATAATCGACCTCCCTCATGAGGTCCGATACGTCCTGAAGCAGCTGCTCCCGCTCTCCATATTGTTCTTCGGTGCCGGACCTACGGAGCAATCAAGCACGTTACGATGCGACTGCTTCATCTACAGCACTTGAACAGCGTTACTAATAAAGTAAGGAAGCACTCACTTCCTCAGGTTCACTGTGTCCTGCTGTCGAAAATATCCGATGAGGAGCTCCACTCGCTCTTTGATGCCGCGAATGGTCAGCTCGCGATTTATCGCTCTCATGACGTTTCGAAGCACGTCCTCCCACGCGGCGGGATTGCTGAATGGGTCAGTACACCCACTTCTTTCAAGAGGCATAAATCTTCATCGATGCGAAAGCGTTTTCGCGGCTTGCGCTGGGCAGGTGACAGCCAAGCTGCAGCACTCGCGGAAAACGTGCCATCTCCGGAGGCAGCCATCTTGAAATGAGCAAAGTTGTTGCACGCACGAGAGAGGGCGCGCGCGTTGTCCCCCTTTCGCTTGCAAAAACGCAGCGACGCACCGCGCTCCGCTTAGGCTGCTCGTAAGCGGAACGTATTCCCCGCTCCGGTAACCCGCTTAAGGCCTTAGCGGAGGGCGCATGCGCACTCGCGTTCCCGCTCCGCTTAGCTGCTAAGCGGAGCGTAAAAACGTCAAACTAAAAACCTCTAATTTTCTTTCAATACGAAGGTACCGACACGGCTTTGCGCGGGGGAAGGGAGACTAGGAGGCAAAGTTTGAGAAGGAAAGTATAGGAAGGAAAGGACGCAGACGACTGTCTCGGACGCGGCCCGCGCTGCTGCCGGGAAAGGGAAAGCAGTCAGGCGAGCCTAAGGCCCCTGTATTTTTCAAAGGTAGCGCGAACCATTGTACAAAAAGCGGAGGAGAATTTCCTCCCCGCCCTCTACGTCTCTCCTCACTCAGGCGCGCGTTTCTGCAACCCTATTGGACCAGGCGCGAAACGTGACCAATGAACCTTGTTGACCCCCTCGGCTCCGCCGGGCAGCGACGCCATGAGTGAGCGCACTGCATCTCGCTCCCACGTGTGTTGCCTTTAGCAAGGCGCCCTCGGATGCAGCGCAATGCCGACCTGCTGTGCCGTTGGCTGCTCCAGCAGCATTGCAAAAGGCGATAAGCTTTTTGTGGTTCCACGAGAGAAAAATAATGAGGAGTGGAGAGCGGTATGGCTGCATCGCATTGGCAGGAAAAACTTCGATTGTCACCGAGGGAGGCTTTGCGAGGTAAGCACTCACTACAGAACTTCT